TCCTCAGGTTGAGGACTATGAAATGTAAATAAGAGACATTGTTACTCAGCTGCTGTGCTGCAATAAATCTTTAACCAAACAGCTATTACCGATAAACAGAAAACACACGAATCAGATTTTTTTTCATTGTCTCGTTTTTTGTTAATTTCCTTATTTTTTCCTATCCTTTGTTTCCTGGTTTCTTTGTTGTTCTTGTTTTTGTGGTCTCTTTGGTTTTCATTTCCTCAGCAGCAAAAGATGGGTTGTATGGGGAGCCTAGGTAGGAGGTCCTTGGGAACAAACAAGAGCACTTCCCTATCCCAACCCTTCCTGGAATCTGATGCAACTCAGAAATGAATCAGTAGAGTTTGATTACTAACACTTCCACTTTAAAATTCTCTTTCTTCATACTAGCGTCCATCAACTCTTGAAGGCTTCACTCAGCCAATTAGCAACGACCAAGGACACATTTTGCCAGGGATCCCACGCTCTACAAAGAGTCCATGGGGTGAATTTGTGGGGACATGGGATATGAAAAAACCTCCTCTCAGAACAAAGACTATAAAGACAAATGCAATGTCCACAAGCTTGCAAAAGAATACAGAGCCTCCTGCACGCACTCCAAGCCCTAAAGAAGAAGTCACTGCAGACAAAGCAAGGACTCCAACACCTCAGCAAGAAGAAGTACAGACACCAAGCCCGCAAGAAGGGAAAGCAAGCCCACGTCCACCAAGCCAGAGTAGTCAATGTAAAAAGTCACCCAGCCCTGTGGTGGCAAAAACCCCTGAACCAGCTCCTCCATCTCCTGTTAAGAGCCCTGCCCAAGAGAATAATTCACCCAAGAATACAGTTATGTTTTCTGACCCAGCTTAATGTCTGTCTAGCACCTTGTACTCTACAAGTTATCCATTCTCTAAGCAATTGCAAAAAATAAATATACCAATTTGTGAGACCTTACCTGACATTGACCAAGTGAAGGTAAAGATGTTCTTGCAACATTAAATAAATTTATGTATTATCCCAAGAATTTTACAAGAACAAAATTAAGCATGCCCACCTAATATTACCCCTATAACCTACTCCTATTTTCTGCAACTATTGAAGACTACTGCTTAAGGCAATTAGTGGCTCATTAACTCCAACAAAAATTCCCCTTACTATCTAGGGCATGGTCAGGGTGTCTTGAGGTGCCTATGAACCCCCCTGAAGAGGTAAGGACCCATCTAAATCAAACATGAAGGCATATAGGCCCCAGGCCTTAGTTGTTGAAGGGTGGATAACACTATCCACTGGATAAATTGCTATCTAGTGGATAGCACAGTATGTTTTGCTAACAGTTTTCTGCTGGATAGTGATTTATCCATTGGATAGCATTACTGCCCTTTGACAACTACCCTCTAGTGGACAAATGGTCAGGATTTTGAGACATAGGTGCTTCTGGACATTATGCCTCCCCCTTGTCAGCAGATTGGCAGGAGCAATAAGCCAGGAAAGGAGGCTGAATAGGTAGTTACAAGCTACCTGTTGTCAGAAAAAAATATCTGAAAGAATTAAGGGCATGTAAAAACCAATCGTCTTCCTGCTTGTGCAACAACTGACTAAAAAAAGTTTTCAGAAGAGCAACTCAACAAAGTAAAGTTTCCTGTAGTGTTGAAATAGTCAGAGTTGCTAATTTTCAGAAAATCAAACCAAACAATCAAATTTCTGGTTTGCTGCAACCTCCATCATTGAGTTGATAACTCAGACATCTTACAGTGAATCAGGATTTCCCAAAGGAAGAATCACCTTTTTTGTGGCAGTTCTTGCTCTCTGAATGTCATGGAAAATTTGGCTTCAAGGTGTTTTAATCCAAAACATTGTTGATGAAATCACTACATATAGTTTGGCTATTATGGTTTACCTTTTTTATTAATATGGAAATTGTTACTGTTAACAGTGGTTCGAGAGCTAGTTAAACAAGGAGTTAAACTCACCTGGGGCTGTTTGCAAATTTAAAATATTTGTTCTTAGAAACTCCTAGTAACACTGCAAGTCTTAGCTTGTCAGCTAGCTGAGGAATACTTGCTTAAGTTCAGCAGTCACAGTCAGAAAAGGACCTCTAAAAGCATTGAGCAAAATTGCATGCTTGAAGCCTGAATGTCCTGCTTACTAACTTGATCAGCCACAAATACACTAACCTGCTTCACAGCAGCACTGTTCATGACAGTCATAAAAAGTAATTGTCATCAGCTCTTCGTGCACTTGAAATATATTTGGGCCGTAAAAAGAAAATTATAATTCACCATCATGCTTACTTATAGTATGTAAACTTAAAAAAAAATAAAGTAATCTAGACAGGGTTTGAAATTACTGCACTCTACATCTTAATGGCTTAGCCTTCAGCAAACAAAAGTCAAAAGGGAGAGTAAACAAAATAGGTACAGGGTTTTCAAAGAAAAAAGTGTGAAAGCTCTCTCTTTCATGAGAAAACCAGCAAACCTGAGTATTTGTCAACACCAGTGTATTGTTTAACGACCTCACACCCATGCTCCGCCCTCTACCCTCCCTTTCTTCTTTTAGGGCAGGGGAGGAAAAGGCACTGTCTGATTTTGCAAGCACGCATAGTTATGTTTTAGTGTTCAGTCTCTTTGATCATGCGTGCCTTAAATCATTATTTTTCAGTTGTTTTATAATAACATGGAGCACTCTTTGATAGCAGTACACAGTGACCCATGAAAGTAATCATGCGAATCCTGGCCGGGGCATGATTAAACCAGCACCGACTTACACATTGCTTGACAATAAATACATTTATTTCAATATTTGGATCAGTAAGATAAGAGTTATTTACACAACTGAGTAACACCTTCTTATAGAGAATTCAAAGTCACTTCCTTGGGAGGAACTAATTCTCCACAACCTTCGTCCAGTACCCTAAAAGCTGAACCGAATTGCTACAGAGCCCTGTCTCCTATTAACACTTCAGAAGTGTCTCTTGTTACTGAGAACAAAGGAGTCTGTTGTACTCGGAGATCAAACTTGATTTTCTGACAGTTTCCCAGGAACGAGCAGCAAAGTGAAACCTTGAAACAAAGAAAATTAAAGATGAAGAGTTGATCCTTAGAGAGGTACCTCAATCAAGGTAAAAAACTTCAGGCCTCCACAAGGATTAAACAAATGCCTTGCAGAGACCAGTGGGGTGTAATCAGTGGATAATACAGGGGAGGGGGAGAGGTGGAACACACCAGTAGTGTGATACCAGTGTGATGTTAACAGTAGGGAGTTGCCACCAACTGAGCAACAAAGCAACACGTTGGAAGGAAATTTAGAGGTCCTTTCATCCCATGTTAACTTCTCTTTCTTTGATTATCTTCATTGCAGTTCACTTGTTACTTCTACCACTGGTCAAGATCAGTAGCCCACCAGGGTAATGGGCTCATGTCAAAGTACAATCTATTTCACATATCTGGTTTGAGAACAAAAGTACTCAATATTGCACTTTTCCCCCATAAAAAAAACTCTTTTTGTCATCTCTTCACTTTCAAAAGACTCTTAAGGCTACCCTGTTCCTTTATCATAACATGTTTGCATTATTTTTTCGCAAAACAGAAGTTCTGCAGTCACAAATCATTGGGGCAGAAGGGACTGACCTAATGTGACACAAGAGGGAGCATCACGCAAAACCTTAGCATACGGGAGTTCAAAAACTTCCCTCTCAGGACGATTCAGCAACAACAAAAAAAACAGTCAGGTGATATATTACCAATTTCTCTCTGTCAGGGAATGATGAGTAAGGAGGTGTCTGTGAACAGAAAATACCTGAAAACAAAACAACAGTTAACTATGAGTGAAAGGAAGTTGTGACATTATCATCAGAGGGGAATAACTTTCATTTCAACCCGGGAAAATGAGAAACCAAACAATAAATTTAATAGAAAAAGGCAATTAAAAAGGAAATAAAACACACGTGAGTTGTCCAGCACACAATGCATCTGGCTTTCATTTTGTCAAAATAGGCTTGAGATGCTAGAAATGCAAGCAATGACAAAATAAAAGGCTTTGTGAAAGGAAGTTACAGAGACATGAAACAGAGCCATATTCAGATAGGGGTTGTCGCTTCTCATGCTGATTGACTTTGATGGTTATAAGCCTTCCCTTTCTCAAGGCTAATGTGAACGAAATGATTTCCCAATTATCTCACCCCTCTGCCCTCCCCCCCTCCTTTGCTGACTATAAGTCCATCAGGCTGTTGGTTTTTCAAGTACACAAACTCCAGGCAGGTATCCTTCAAAAGAAGGGGCCTATTTGGTAAGCCTTCTCCTTTTTTCTGGAAATTTTTTCCTTCACAAACCAAGACGACTGAATGTTCAGAAAAAGCAAGAAACAGCTAGAAAAATGATTCCTATTTTGGGCATGGTATAAGAAACAGAACCACGATTTTCTTTTTTTCAGTTTTACACCTGCCCGTCAAATATCAAGGAAAATGAAACACCTTATAATTACTTTATTAGAAAATTTGAGCTCAAAGTCTGATCTAATTTGATGTTATGTTTCATAGTTGACTCGATTCCAAACAGGCCAACCCAAAATTACTCAACAAATTGACTGAGCCAGTAGTTTGTTACAGGGGTTATGGTGACAAACAGACAAGTGATAAGCCATACAGTTCACAAATGAATAATAGAGCCAAACCAATGAAAGTAATTACAACAGTTAATCAGACGGAAGGAAAAGACCTTCAAGAGCCAATAAGGATTCAAAGTAAAATAACCAAACTACCTGAAGTGCAGGAAAACGTGGACATCAAGTCATGATTGGTTTTAGTTTTGCATTTGATTGACTGAGAGAGTAGCGCACTTTTTTGGACCAATAATTACTGAAGTAAAGCAAAACGAATGCAATCCCATATCACTTTCAACATTCAATTGGAAATTTCCCTAATAGAACAAGAAGGGTGACCTGATTCCGGAGACTGTGTAAGACCACATCAAAGCTTGGATGTCCCTGATATGTGGGTGACTTGGTGCACATTCCATTCCCTTAAGAAGAAAAAAAAAGAACAAAATGTAATCTATAAAATAACTTTAATACCACGTGTGCTTTAATAAGTCAAATACCGCATTGGGTATTAATAATGGTAATTGAACTGAGTGGAGTGCAATTTTGGCTGAAATCACAAGTATGATTTCAGACCAAAATTGCACGACATGAGGTTCAGTTACCACTTTATTACATCCATTTTGAAATCACCCAAATACAGGACTTGGTCAGTTCTTATATTTTATTGATACAGTACTGAGCCAGTTTGAAATTAAATTAATCCATTTGGGGGAGGGGGGCTGGGGAAAATAAAAAAGTTGCCAAATTTGCCACATGATACACTTTGTCTTTCAATTTGATTGGTTACTTTAAACAAGCCTTGAAATCTGATTGGTTGTTTTGTTTTTAGTGTGACCTGCTCATTGGTTGGGAAAAAGATGCAATTTAAAGCAAAAATGGTGTGATTCGAGAATAAATTGCACCAATTAGGGCCAATCAGATTACAGAGACCACCAGTGATTTCAAAATGGGTGTAATAAAGCCAACAAATACACAGCAAAACGAAGTATTTTGAAGCTATTGCATGAAAGAAACAGAACACACCTATTATTGGTTTATCAGCATGAATAACCCACATAGAATCTTGGGAGGACACTCAAAAGTTAGCAAATCACTCCCTTTTGGGCATTTTTTAAACAAACTTTTTCTAACTCTCTCAGCTAAGAAGAAAATTACGTAATTACTGAAAATAGTCTGCAAGTGAAAAAGACTTTTCATTTATGGAAAATCTGTCAAATTTGGACTAGTTTTACGTTGACAGAATTGTGGTTCAATTCATACTGCTAAATTTTACCTCCATGTGGTTGAAAGACTGGTACCACGAATATGTTCATATCATCACAAGATGTTAGAAGTGTTCTGTAAGGCATCAAGCTTGAGCTCAACAGAGAAATACAAGCTGAAACAACAAAAATAAAGAAATTCAACCAGTGTATGAGGATGAGGACTACAACTAGCATTTCCCCCTTTTTCCCATGGTTTTGTAGCTTTGATTCAAGACAGAACCTGAAAAAATTACAAAAAAAGATCTTTCTTTTGACTGAACCACTTTTTGAATTTTTTTTTTCTGCAACATTTCTGCAAACAAGAAGCCATTCCTGTTTTCTTGCTTTAAGAACGGTTTCTTGTAACTGATCTACATGAGCATACATAGAAATTAAAGAGGAAAATGGCTAATCAGATCTTGGGAGTTAAAATATTAGTAAGGCTAACGTATACTTTGCAACTTCAATCTTGAGTGCTGAAACAGAGTGCTGGTCGCGTAATGCATAGAGCTCAGGTTTTCATGGTGAAAATCCTCCCTTGTGGCTTTGTTATACACAAAAACTGCAATAGAGAGAAGGACAAAATGATCCCATCGCATTGAAACAACTTATATAAGCGTAGTGAAAGCAGTGAAAAAGCTGCTAGTTGACTCGTGTTTAGTCTTCTTCATGATGTGCTCAGCTCAAGGGTGTGGTGAGGAGTTCACTGAGGGAAACAATGACCACATTGTGAAAACGACTGGTAACGAATCTCGAAGCTTTGTCAATCCTCCCAATCATTCAGACCTAACATGGAATGCTTAACATTAATTGCTTCACAACAATTGTAGCATCAGTTTGACGCATTTCAAGTTGCTTTTTCTCGCAGTTCAAGCGTGTAAATATTTTGAAAGTCTGATCAGCATTAACTTGTGTCCTACTCTCCTAATGCACTAATTCTGTCAGAGCTTACTGCCAAGGAAACTTAATCACTTTTCATCAGGACACAGTACCCTACACGGAATCTTTAGATGTGAGAGACATAAGTGGTTGTGTTTCAGCATGTGACCGAGATGGATTTTACCAGGGTAGCAAATCATATCTGAAAGCAACATAAACTGCTCCTGTCTTACCTATGTTTGGATAATTCTCATCTGACTCGTCTGAAGACCCTAAGCTGTTAAACGAATAAAAAAAGCCATGAAACAACCTCCTTTTTTTCTTCACGTTATCATTCCTGCATTTTCCAGTCTCTGCTATTGGCTAGAACTCTTTTAGCATTCTATGTTTGATGAGGTTTTCTTGTTATCCCTTTTACTTCTCTCTAGCTCCTTAAAATATTTGCTTTTATTCTGATAAGTGTGTGTGATTACTTTGGTTTTTTAACATTCATTCAGTTTTAAAATATTCCCTATGATAAGATAACCAAGGGCGGAGGATCTAAATATTTTCAACCATTCACTCACCCAGAGGATTCGTGTGAGGTGTGGCTGGTTGATGAAGGCTTCAACATCTCAGCTGTTTTTAAAAGCCTGAAAATTAAAAAACAAACAAACAAACAAATTATGTTCATCTGATATACCAGCTGGGGTCGTTTAACATTATAGCAGTTAAAGCAACTTTGCAGACTTTTTTCTCCCATATTTTTTGCAAGTGGTATCTTTTAAGAGCCCACTACACAGTCTGTAAATGTTGAACGTTTAGATTCATCTTTTCAAGTTATCTGTAATCTGTGTGATTCCTTCTCCATCCTTTGTTATCATCCGTCTCTCTTCAGGTTTAGTCTTCCCATGTTAGGTGTTTTTCTATCTTACCACTGACTATGATGTTCTGTGGTTTCCCTCACCGTTGAAAGTAATTTTGCGCCTTACAGAAAACAATACCAAATACTCCGATGGTGAAATAAAGTACAATATGGCCAGCTATGCCAAGGTCCGTACCACAAGGGACCACCGGGTAATTGAGGGGTCGATAAATTTTAATGCTATCCACTGGATAAGTCACTATGTGGTGGATAGCACTGTACATTTTGCTACACTTGTCTGTTGGATGGTGATTTATCTGGATAGCGCTATCCACCCTTCAAACTAAAGGGCCCAAGCTAACGCAGTTGCTTTGGTCACGGCTGGATTAACTTTTTGTAAAGCACCTTGTTACTGAAGATCAGCGAAGAGTTGAAACTGAATCTTGTACAACTTAAAACACAAACAAAAGCAACTTAACCCTTTGACCTCTGAGAGAGACTGACCTCTAGATTCTCCTTACAATATCAACCCCAAATCACTTGTTAAGCTCACGAGAATAAAGGAAATGATCAGCAACCAAAGAATCTCTTGATTGTTAAACAATTTCTTTCTGGTGGCGCTTTAGAAAATGTATAAAGAACAGTATGGAGAATATGTAAACTGATGTTACAAGTGAAAAGGGTTAACACACAAGCAAAAGACGTTACCTTAATATGGTGAGATCAGTGAACCAATCTTGTACAACTAAAATCACATGACATACTGTTAAGAGGAAAGTGACGATTTGCAGTGACTGAAAAAAAGAAAAGGAAAAATGAGGAATGGTCAACAGTATGTCAAGATGAACACGAGGGTGCCAAGATTAAAATGAGGGTGATTAAGTCGTGATTGGTTTCAGTTTTACATCTTATTGGTTGAGAGAGAGACGCGAGTTTTTGGTCCAATCACAGAGTGATGAAAATTAGAATTATCCAGCACTGCATTTAGAAGATCCAAGGATACAAAAAGTCTGAAATTGAATTGGGCACTTTTACTA